GAGTTTTAAACTTTATAGTTTAAAACAAGTTTTATAACATGTTTTGTCTTCAAATTTTTTTCTTTCCAACACTAATACTGGGTGATTTTAAAGTACACTTGAGTAAAAAAAAACGCAAATTGATTTTTTTTATAATGTAATTTGGCCTGTTAATAACTGCCAGCTTTTTGACGTTGTCTTTCTCACAATTCAGAATCTCATAATTGTTAGACATCTTCCAAACTGCTGTCAAGTTTTTCCATTTCGTTTTTAACACTGACTATGACCACCAAATACGACATTTCTTTTGATAGTTTTCTAATCTTTTTGGATACAACCTTTTTCACACTATGTAAATTTCTGAAAAATTAGACAATTTTGTTTTTGATAATTTGCGTTTTTTTGCACTCAAGTGTATACTCTTTTTCATATTAATGTGCATCAAGTAGGTTGTAGAAGTCTAAATGAATCTTTAATTTAAAGTCCGATTTACACAAAAAGTGTCATTAATGTCATTCAAAACAAATTTAATCACATCAATAATGACAAAAATCTTTATGTTTGCTATCCTATGTTGATTACGTGGTTAATTTTAACTATTTTTTGCTACGTGGGGTACACATTTATTTGAAAAAATAATTTTTAGGGAAGATTGAGTTTAGGATTGTTTGAATTTTCGCATGGTTTCCACCTTAAAATAATCCCTTTCAACAACTACTTCGATGCACATTAATATGAAAACGAGTATAGTATGTGCAAATATTTTAACAGGTGATAGTAGAGCTCAAAAGAAGTCAAAAAAACTAAACTAAATTATTTTTTTATAATACTTTGGTCGTCACTTTTTTGACACTTTAATGTAATTCAAGCCTTAACGTTAAAATGAAAGACAGTTTCAAATTAATGACAGCTATTATATTTTCCTATCAAAAAAATGTACATACAACTTGTCAACTATGATTGACAGTAGCTAAAAATAAGGTTAACAGTGCTAAAGCATGCTTTACAATTTAATGTCACTCAAGTGACATTGACGACCAAAGTATTTTGTCTCCAACTGTCCCTAGCAATTTTATTAAAAAATTATGGTTGTTTTCAAATTGAGATGTTGTCAAAATTGTGACTTTTATGAATCTTGTGTGCCTGTCTGCTCTTTGAAACCGCTATAATTGAATACCTGAAGAGAGGAATCATTGCCTAAGGTCTAAATTTTGATAAAAACACATCGCAAGTAAGTACAGTGTTGTGGACGAAAATGAGGTTTTTGCTACAAAAAATTTAAAAAAAATAATGTATATACAGAAAAAAGTTATGTAGCAAAAGATACAAGTAGGTATTATGATGATTGGCAATAAATTTTTTCTAATTTATTGAAATGAGCTCAAAGTTGATGAATTTTATAAATTCTTCTTCAGCTTTACTTTCAAAATTGTTACTTTTTCAACTCGTTCCTTAAAAACGATGCACAAGACACTAATTTAATTGCGTTCTTTCCGAGGTTCTTTCTCATTCATACTTATTTTGTATTCTTGTCAATTTCTTGCTAAAAATTGAGAATGTTTAGCAAACCTGCATTACAAATTGCGTCTACATTTTAAAGGGTCCTTTTTCTAACTCTAGATTTCTAAAAACTGTTAGCTGTACCGAATTTGTTCTCTTTTTTTTAAACGATTTTTTGTGTTGATGTGTAATGACATTGTTTTCAAATTAATTTAAAAAACCAGAACTGCCAATTTCCTTTATTAAAATTACAATGAATGAATTTACTAGTGGTGCCAACGTTAAGACTGTTTGACATTTCCATTTGAAGAAAAAACAGACTTTAGATGAAATTGTCATCTTTCTTGTAGTGTTGTAGGAAATACAGTAGAACCCCTCTATAACGAGAAATCAAGGGACCAACATATTTGTTCGTTGTAAACGATTTTCGCTGTAAACAGTCATGGATAATAACAGTTTTTACATATGTACTATGTAAATTATTTATTAAATACGAATATTAAAGAAGCTTAAAACAATATTTAAAAAAACATCTATAATTTTTGTTTGTTTTCTGTACTGAAGCATTTGTATCTTATCATTTGCACTTTCCAATTATTGTACAAGCCTCTTGTCCTTGTTCTTTAAAATTGTTGTCAATGTGGAACTCGCTAAATTTTTCTCTTTGCAGATTACAGCTTGTTTTTTACCACTTTCAGACTCTTTTGTTATTGATATTTTTTCTTTGTAGAAAATGATTTTCTTTTTGAGGACGACATATTGATACAGACGGAAGACGAAGTGTTCTCTGCTTGAAAAGTTATTCAAGACTGAGAAAGTGAGAAAAATAAGACCATTAGCACGCAAAAACAACATTTCTAAAAAATCTAATACACAATACGTAATGGAGACTCGCAGGATTTTTATTTTTTCTAGAAACTCTCGTTATAACCGATCTGTTTCCGAAATTTTTAAGAATTTCTCGCTATTACCGATCTTGGACAAAATAAAAGTTTTGCTATATCCACCTCACTTCCAGAAAAATACTCGCTATAGAGGGAGAATTTTACATAGAGTAGTATACAAATAAATCGGACGAGTGGTTTGTCATCCACGAGGTGGAATAAATGAACCGATTTACAGGAAGACGAGTTGAATACCACATTTTATTCTTCGAATTAGACTCAACAAGGCTTAAAATTGCTTTAAATCTGTCACAGGAAAAAACCGTAAATTTTGACAGTGTCGAAGAATAAATAAATTTTATCGATTAGCGCTACCTGTCTATCGAAACGATAAAATTTATGTTATGTTAAATCATTCATTCATTTATTGAGTCTTTATTTGAGTTGAGACTTTGTGCATATTGAGTGACAAGTATAACTTGTGCCTTAGGAGTATGATGAGAACTCCATAAAAGTAAGTCTATTTACTACACCCTCATGACTTTCCATCCCACTCTATGACAATAATTAATTATACTAATTTTCAAGGAAAATAATAAAATTAAAACATACAACAATCAAAAAAAAATATTCTGATTAATTTTAATTAGGTACGTAATTAAATTAACTTAATTGAAATAAATAATTGAATAAATATTTATTTTATATACACCTAAAAAAGTAATATAATTACGTAATGAGAATTGTAATTATAATTGCACAAAAATGATTTTTATACATTATTGATTGGAATTTAAAAGGTTATTTTAATTTGCATAATTTACAAATTAGTCCAGTCAATAAAAGTTCAAAAAGGAGTTGTATAATACATAGGAAAATAAACTTTATTTTCCCACGACCATATACGAAAGTGACATTTTCCATACAGTCAATTACCCACAAAGTTGACGACATCGAACGAATCGCATTACTCTCCTAACGCACGTGTGTGTTATGAAAATAATGTATGAGGTGTAAGAAGTTGTGCGATTGGCGGAGAGCTTTATTTGCATCTGGTAAATTGCGCGCGATTGGCTATTGGTTGGCCATGTGCATTGCTTTTGACATTTATTTTCTTCATCTTTCAAAACTTTTAATTAAGTTTTTAATATTTTATCCACAATCACTCTATAAAGAGACTTTATTCCACACTTTAGATGCGTATAAACTACCACTTTATCCACTAGTAAATTAAAGTAACTTTATTCCACTGTTAGTAACCAGCGCACCGCGTAACAGCTTACTACGTTTAACCGAAAGCACATTTGGCGTGACGTTTAAATGTCAGTTTAATTTTTAATTAAGTTTAGAATAATTTGGGCCTGTGATTGTAGATAAAACGTTACATTGCAGTCGTGTGTTAGCCGCGTTTAAGAAAATTAAGAAAATTAACCCCTCGAACTGACATTCTCGAGGTTAAACATTCTTGCGTGGATAAAACGCTATCTAACACACTCTTACAATAGATAACTATATGTATAGACACCTAATAACTATCAATTTTTAACAGAAACATTAAAAAGTTTTATTGAAAATAATGGTGTTTTTTTGTCGTTGGGTTGCGGAGCCGTATGAAAAATAGTGTACATAACTCGCTGAAAAGTGTCTAACGCACTCGTGGAGCTTCTGCACCAGCACTCGGTTGACGCCTCGTGCGCTTGTCACTTTTCTTGCTCGTTATGTAATATACTATTACTTGTTATTCTATGTAAGTAAATTTTCAAGTTTTCAATTATTATAGTGGGTTTTTCTGTGACATTAGAGAAAATTTATGTATTCATTATCGTGGTTTGAGTTTTTACATAGTTTCTCCCATGCAGATAAGTTGATGAGAAAAATTTGCTTCAGAAAAATACGAATGAAATTTCAACTTTTCAATTAATTTGCATTTGTCACATTCAGCTCTCATTTTTCGTGAATCACTCATGGATGAAGGAGAAATAATAAAAGAGAAGTGGCGTTTTTACCTACCTATTATCGAATTACAATGCGACAATAAACTGTTTCGGTTGTTTGCTCATTGGTGTTTAAAAACATCCCCTGTCCACGCTATCACTAAAACGTATCTACCAGTCTAGTTTATCTGATGCTCATCTACTTTTCCACTTCTACTACCTATTAAGTAGCCCATCAGCAGTCCCAACAAACAATAATAAAAAAATGACTATTTTTAACATTCACCATTTTCTATACTAGAGATAAAGTCTATAAAATTTTAGCCTCTTTTACGAAAAACAAAATATTCCATTTCGTATGAAATAAGCAGATAAAAGTGACAACTTTTTAGTACCACTGCATGATGCTCTCCGACTACAATGTAATATTCAATCAGATAAATTCGAGTGGCGGGTCCATCTCTTTTAGCGGTTTGCAACTGTCCTCTTGAAAACCAGAAAATAAGTCGTCAATTGCATTACTTGTCTCACATCTGTCTCTAATTTACTTTGAAATTCTATAAATTATAGAAAAGAACAATTAAATGATCGATTCAAAACCTTGAAATGTGGCTGTTACTTTTCCCAGTGGAAAGCGTGGACAATGTTTGCCACCAAGTGGTAACAAGGTCATTATCCACAACCTTGATAATATACCAGAACGCTCAAGCCTTAGTTTGATGCGTTCTCTTGCTAGTGCGCATATTTATTTATTTATTTATCTTCCAAGCAAGTGTTTTCACCGGTGTTTGAGCATTTATGAGTTCTTGTTGTTTCTCTCGTGTGTCCACACTTATTAAAACTTGGGCTTTTCCGGAAATTTCAACTCGGCTTTTATATCACCGGTCAAATAGTAATTTTGCAAAAATGAGTGTGCCGACTACTACTTTAAACGGGGGATTAAAAATGCCAATGATAGGGTACGGAACTTGGCAAGTAAGTCGCTTTTATTACATTTTAACACCTAAATAAATAATACTATCAAGAATTTTTTCTAACATAGTTTATTGAACTTTTCGTATAAAGACCTCAAATCGCGGTGTGTTTGAATTTAAAATTAACTAAATATTTGAAGACTATAAATTGCCGCGACTTCAGCCGGGATTCATAACTTTTAGTAAAACCCAAAGGGCAAAGGGGAAAAAATTTCCCAGAAATTTTTTATTGGGTATTAGAATAGTTAATATGTATGCATTAATGCATTTTAATTTTTTTTCAATTATTTTTAAATATTTTTAATACATAATACTTAAAAAAATTGCCGCGGCTGGAGCCCTATTCTTGTTATACAAAATGTTTTACATATTTTAAATATCTTATTTTCGAAAACTTTTGAAAATATTTAGTTATCATTATTTTAAATCATATAATTTTTCAACAACAATTATCATGTATTTAAACAACAAAAGAGTCGACACCATGCAAATTTATCTGTTCTAATCACTAACTAATAAAAAAATTTAACAATAATTGAGGTCAGAAGCCAAGAAGTCAAAATATTAAAATGCAAATTAAGAGATATTTTAATATAAACATTTTTTCCTTCATAAAAAATATTGTAAGGAACCTTAAAATATTTAGTTTTTCTTACAGCAGTAAACTCAATATTGAAAAGAAAACGACTTAGGTTTTTGACCCCTTTCCAATTATTGCCATTTATCATTTTAAGAAGGGTGAAAACTGCAGAAGACTGCAAATTTTCAATATCTTAATATTTTGAACCTAGTTTATGTATTGCTGATTGCATTTTACAGGCGCAAACTTTGCAACACATTGTATAGAGTGTTTTAGAACACACGCTTCAGAGAAAAATTCCATGTAAGATAAGATACCAGGAACAAGGAAAAAATCTTTAAAAAATTCTATCTAAAAAAATTTAGAAATTATGATTCTATTCCTTTCTATTGAAAATTGAAAAAATTATTTTACATTTTTTTGCTGCAGGCTATTAGTAGAGGAAACAAGGAAGCTGTTTAAGTTTTGATAGATCTTATAACTAAGGCACGGATTATATGCACGGAAAATTAAATATGCGCATATATTTGCATTTATTTTCAAAAAAATATGCACGGGATATTAAGAAATATGCTACAATATATGCCAAATATGCATCTATAAGCAAAACTTTTAACAAAGGATAGATAAATTTTTATCCTCGAATAGAGTTAATTAAACTTTGCATCTTGAACTGGACACGATGAGCGAAAGTGAACAAATAAATTAGTTTTGCCTCAGACAAGCCATTTTAATAACCTAGTAATTCACCTTTTCTAAGAAATCTACTTTTCACTTTAAAATATTTCGCTAAAATTCACTTGCAGGCAACTACTTATTCGAATGGAGGGATTATAGCCATACCGCGTAAATGAAAAGGAACCAAATGTTTTATGCTTAAACTATTTATGTTTGTAATAACTAATTAATGAATGATAAAGTACTATAAAAATGTGATGTCTTATCAAGAATAAAATTTTTCAAAATTTTCTTTTGTTTGTAAGTTCACAATTTTTTTTTAAATGACCACCCACTTATAAAACATTCTTTTCGTTAAGGTTATGATCTAAAAATTACAACTATCTACTTTATATTATTTTTTTTTAGTATTTTTTTACATACATTCCAATTTTACCAAAAAAAATCGCATAATTCAAAAACAAAATAATTTTTTTTTCTCAAAATACGATCACATTTTTATATTATTTTAATTTAAATTAAGTATTATTTTTTACAGGCAAATGATTTAAAAAAAACGCTTAGTTCCATACTTTATATTCACCCTGTATAAAACGAATTCAAAAAGGAAACACGCAGCAGAATACTAATTTTTTGAGTCCGGCTTACGAATTACCGGTTGTTTTCTCTTTAACACATTTTGTAATCGGGTCTCTTTTCTTAAACTGTCTAATTGAACTGAAGTTTTTAATCAGAAATTTGTGATTTGAAGAAAATATGCACAAATATGCAATATTTCTTAAAATATGCACGAAGTTGCCAAAATATGCAAAATATGCATTTTTTAATTGGCCTATTTTAATCAAAAAACATTAGATATGCATAGAAAACTTATAATTTTGTTGATATACTTACCTCTTAATAACACATATGCATTTTGCATATAATCCGAGCCTTATTTACAACAAATTTAATTAAGGTTTAAAAAGAAGAATACCAGAGTAAGTAGCAATTAAAAAAACTTTGTGGTTAGAAAAACTACAAAATTAATTTAAAGTTTTCAAAATTTAAAAAAAAAACATTTTTTTTACATTTGTTTTTGAGAATTTTTGAAAAACCGTGTTTTGTATTTAAAATAGACATTCTTTTAAAATAATAAGAGACTATTTTTTGTCTTTGGAACTTTTTTTTAATTCTTTTTAAGGTAGGTGGAAGTAATTTTAATTTTTTATTTATGTAGGAACTTATTTTTCTTAGCCAATTTCAAATTTTTTATTGCAAATCTCCTCCTTCTGACTCTTTTGAGTATCTCGTGACAAATCTATCTGCAAAATGGCAACATCGCAACCGCATTTTTTAAGATAAAATAGATCGTATAGCTATGGTTCTGTGTTTGAACTGGACCCATGGAAGTAGTATTAACTTTTACACAGGTGTCCGGAAAGTCACGCACCTCCGTGGCACTGTATCATCGGGCAATGCCTTAGACAACAAGAAATATGTTAAAAAAATCTTTTTAGAAAAATTACGAAGTTATAAGAGTTTAAATTAATTAAATTAAATTAATTTAAACAACAAGATTATCACTATTATCAGTAAATTAAATAGATATAATAAGATGTCAAACGTCAAAAAATATATGTCAAAATTTTTTGACAGATAGAATTTTTTTTGAGTACTCTGGGGGACTACACAATTACTCCATTTCAAGAGGTGCGCGAATTTCCGGACATCCTGTATTAACTATACTAAATCCTTGACTGACCCTACTGATAAATTTAGAGCAAGGAACTACACTCTAATTAAATGAATTATATCTAAACCAAAAATAGAAAACCTTTTTTACTGTTTTTTTTTTTTTTTTGTTAAAACAATACTTTTGTAATTTTTTGTTTAATTGTAAATCAATTATTTATTTAAATATAATAAACTTTAATAAATATAATAATATTCCAATCAATGCGTTCGTTAATAATAATATGAAATAAAATACCTCTGTCCTTGCTATAATGTTTTTTTGGGTAATACCAGTCATTCCGTAAAATTAATTTGCAGGCGATGCAAAAAATTGAAGGCAACATGATAAATAATTAACTAAATCTGTTGCATTCAATACCATATTTTGTAACAACGAGGTGCAATGGTGCAATAATGTTCATACTTTCTGAAAATCCGTAAAAATTAAACGTCTATCTCATTTCAAGGCAAAAGATGAAGAACTGGAGCAAGCTTTCGAAGCCGCCCTCGAAGCCGGATATCGGCATATCGACACAGCTCATGTCTATGAAAATGAAAAAGTTATCGGCAAAGTTCTAAACCGGTGGTTCTCCTCCGGCAAACTAACCCGTAATGCAACGTATTTATTAGCAAAGTCATAATCAAATTGACTCCGATTTGCAGGCAAAGATATCTTTCTCGTCACTAAACTACCCCCTGGGGGCAACCGGCCGGAAGCTGTTTCCAAGTACATCAAACGGTCTCTCAACTTACTCCAAGTTCAATATCTGGATTTATATTTGATCCATGTTCCGTTTGCTTTCAAGGACGTCGAAGGTGACCTACATCCCATGACTCCTGATGGACGCATCGACATAGACCCCAGCACAGACCACGTGGCATTATGGAAGGTGCATTCCTTATCGATTTAACATTTTCTAATCACTGTCAAGGCCAGGGCCGCAGCTAGAGGTTTTGACGCCCGCGTGCACATTTGAATTTGACGCCCCTTGTTAATTTGTTAAGAAAATATGGGTATACTTATTTTATTACATAGGTATGATACCTAAAAATATACAGGGCTTTCATTTCAAAAGGATCCAGTCTCAATAACTTTTGACATTGAGTAAATGTATTTTCAAGCAAAAACAAGTCGATTATGATCCCGAGGGGGAAGTTGAAAACCAACATTAGTTATTTTGTATTTTCCTCACTTTCATACTTGCAAACTCTGTAACCAGCTCCTTTATATCTAAATTATCAAACAGCTCTTGTTCAATTGCAATAATAGATAAGTTGCACCATGGTGAATCTTAAATGATTTTTAATTTAGAAAAAATCTTTCGCCAGACGAAACTGAAACTGGTAAGGAATGTAAAATTCTTAATGTAATTGCTGTATTAGGAAAAGTAGAAATTAAATTATTTTCAAAAAGATATTGTACAATATTTGAAGGTTCTTGCATAGTTTGTTCGATGAAATGTATTTTTAAAGCTTTAAAAGCCTTTGAAATTTTTTAATAATTCTTCTTCGGAAGAATTAAACATATTGTCAATAAATCCAAATGTATCATTAAATGCATTTAGTTTTTCAAAATTATTATTTAAAGAAGACAAAACTTGATTCAAAATCCTGTAGAAAAGTTAGTTTTGAAATTATTTTTTGCATCTAGCACAACTTCGTCTTGATGTTCGTAATCAAAGAGTTTTGGCTTGCCTTTTGGGCGTACAGTTTGCATCATCGGAAAATTTGGTTCTACGTTAAGTTCGTCAGCTTCAGTCATTACATTTTCGAAGCTTTTATCTAAACCTATAATTAAAATAAGATTAAATTTTTTTAAAAATTATACCAAGATATTTGTTTAATTGTAATACTTCCACAAAAATCACTAGTTTAAAAACAAATTTTCGACCACCACTAAGCACAAATCCACTAAGTAATAAAGCAAACAAATGAAAGGAAATAGGAAATTGGATGCGATCTTAGTATGTGTATTTTTTTAACCCAAAAGTTCTAGGAAACTATATAAAATTTGTTTTATTCAGAAGTCTAGATTCAGTGAACTTGGCACCTTTATTAGGGTTCGAATATTGTAAGATGCACACCTTGAGTCATTTAGATCCAACAAGCCGTTTGAATGGCTCACGGTGTACATCTTACAGTGTTCGAACTCTAATCTCTATAACAGGAAACGGCCACATGACTAGTTTTTTCACATAACGTTTTGTTTTTTTTTGTTTGGTTGTATTTCTCTTGCAGTTTTTTTTTGTTCACTGCGAAATTCAAAATGTCTTATTTAATAAAATTTTGTTACCTCGCACGCCTTGCACCCCCGCTTGTGGCGGCCCTGGTCAAGGCTGCAATCGCGTACACTAACTGCAATTATCCTCAGGCGATGGAAGCCCAAATCGACGCCGGACTTACAAAATCCATCGGACTTTCAAACTTCAACCAAAAGCAAGTCCAGCGAGTTTTGCAAAACTGTCGCATCCCTCCCTGCAACCTCCAAGTTGAACTCCACGCTTATTTGCAACAGAAAGACTTGGTCGAGTTTTGCAAAGCGAACAAAATCGTTGTGACGGCTTACTCGCCTTTGGGGTCGCCGGGACTGGCGAAATTTATGGCGCAATTTGGACACAAGTAATAACTTTTAATCGATACTTCTGAACTGATTTAACTTTTTTTCAGGATTGATTTGCCGGATATTCTGAATAATCCGGTAGTTAAGGCCATTGCAGCCAAACACAAGAAAAGTGAAGCCCAAATTGTGTTGCGCCATGCAGTCCAGAAGGGAATTGTTGTGATTCCCAAAAGCACCAATCCGAAACGACTTCGAGAAAATATCGATATTTTTGGATTCGAACTGGATCAGGAGGACATGAGTCAGTTGAATAATCTGGATCAGGGAATTAGGATTCTGAATTTTGCTGCTTTTAAAGGGATTGAGGAACACCCAGAGTACCCTTTTAAATAACCCTCCACTTTGTAAAAAAATTATTGTATTTTATAAGGATATGACGTACAGATAGAACACGAAATTATTATTCGTTGTATTTTGGTGTTTAAACTATATCTTAATAAAATTTATTGTTTTAATGCACCTAATTGACTTTTTGCGACTATATGATATGCAATTTAGTAAGAAATTTTAAAATTTGAAGCGTTGCTGTCTTTTAAACAGATCAGCGTTATAAAATTGCTAGAAAAGAACAATGACACTTTTTACAAAACGTAAAAAGTGGCTTGAATAAGAGGGCAGTCGAATTGGGTGAGTACATTTTAAATCAAACAAATTTTATCACTAGCCCCTGACTCTGAAATTAGGTTGGAAACACTGAATAAACTGAAACAAAAGATATTATCGTATCAACAAGAAATTACTCCCTAGGATTTAGGAATATTCGTGAATAGGTTGCCATAAATTTGGTTAGGTTGGTTTGTGGTGACAAATTGATAGTTGACAGAGGTTGACAGAAAACATCAACCGTCAACAAGGGGTAACCAACTCTAGGCATTGAAAATTACTTCTGAAAATTCTAGTTACAAACAACATGAAAAAAGTAATTTTCCTAGAAATTCAAATGATAGGTGGTAATTTCTTGTTGACAAATCTGTAAATAAGAGATTTGTGGCAACACTGGTGATGTTAGGTTGTTCCAGGTGATGCTATGTTAGCTGCCTCCCGTTGAAAATGAATGACAATTGATAATAAAATTGTGACATTTATTTCTGATGGTCAGTGTTGCCAAATAGCAATTTCTAATCTATGGCAACTTCTTAAGTTGCCAACTTAATTTCATAGTTACAGGCCACTTTTTGTCTTGTTTTTAACAATTTTAGAATTTCTTTGTGTTCGACTGCCCCAATAACAGCATTGTGTAACAATAACAAGGGTGTCTTAGATCCTACTCTCTTTAACCGAGCAATCATTAGCCACCTCCCTCGTTTCGGAAGTGGACTCATCACACTCCTCCATCCCAATCCTCACACTTTGCTCGTCCAACTCCTTATTAAGATTGTTTTCATTATTCACATCCGTGTCCACTTCGCACATTTCGATGCTTTCCGGTTCCTGCAGTCTTCTTTGTGTCCTAAACATTAAACTAACTTCACTATACGACGGCGGAAGATCGGATTTGTCCCCGAAGATGTCCTCGTAGGCCGGTGGCGAGAACCCCAAGGAAGTGGGCGAAAGCCCTTTGCTGGTCGTTTCCGAATCCAGGATGCTGGGAGTGCTTCCGGTTTGGTATCGTTGAGACCGTATCAGATTTGCACTCAGTTCCATAAAATCGATGCCAGTGTGGTCGGCTTGGAGCTGGGCGAAAACAGCGCGGTCCACCACCAACATCCTGCCGTACGGCAGCAGGATTATTGTTGGCGTCGCTGATTCTCCTGCGGCGCTAGCTGCAACCACACAATTTTTAATAGTCACAAAAATGAAAAAAAAAATTGCTTATTGTTTGAATTCACATGATATTCAAATTTTCTTTATCACATACAGCTTAGTTCAGGACTCGCGCTCCCTCAAAAAAAAAACGCTAAGTAAACATGGAAAAAAATATTAAAAAAAAATCTATCTACAGGGTGTCCCAGAAAAAGTGTAGGTGCTGTTAACCACCTTTTCTGCTACGTTAGCTAATACTAATATTGAAAGAAAAAATGTTTAGGGTCCAAAAACGTTTGAGTTATAAAGGCTTGAAACTGACCAATTATGAAAGCCTCGGTCATACCTTGCTGCTACCTATTTTTTGATCGCTAGGAAACAGAAGAAGAATAGGGTGATGCAAAGCCATGAATATTCATCTGGTCTACTGTAAATTAGTAACGTCATTCATGGCATTTGACAAGTCAATTTCAATTCAAAATTTCGTCTCTAAAAGGAAAGCCTGTATGCTACGAGTGGCTACGAAGTATTCAAATTGTTCAAGCAACACATTTAAAAGTAATGCAATATGTTGGAAAGTTTGGACACAACTTCTGCAAAATGGTTTTAATAACTATTGAAAATTGAAACGAAAGAGGGTGAAGAAGTAGGTTTGCATCTTGGAGAAGAATCTTATGAAACTATTTGAGTTCTTTATTAGACCTAATGGCCCTTTCAATGTAGTACCTATAGTGTAGTTATTATGTCTTAATGACACGATGGTAAAGTTTTCCCAGTTTGGTAAGGTTATGGCCCCCAATAAAAATAACAATGAGAAGATTACTTCCGAAGTTACATCACAATAGCTCTAATTGTAACAATGTTATGTGGAAAATTTTAAAGCAATGAGGACGAATTTAGTGTCTTTTGGGCAAATAAACTAACAATATTTTTTAACATAAGCAACCAAGAACTTTTTATTAATAGCTCGAATAAATAAAAAAAGAACTGAAAACAAACAAAATAAAACCAACAGAACAATAAATAAACGTAAAAGAAGTTGTTCAAAATGACCACCATGCATTTCTATACTATACTGCCTCGTTGCCTCATTGGCATTTCTATTGCATTCGCCGTACATAATTACCATTTCAAGGTTTTCATTAGGAGCAAACATTTTCACCAACACTATTTAGACCACGATAATGAAAAAAATAATGGACAAATACAAGTGAAGTTTCTCGTGACAATTTATGTGACACTGACCCTTCACTAGTTGACCAGATATTTTTTCAAAGAAACCCAAACTTTCAATTTTTGCATTTAACTTGGCAACGTAACTTATACCTAAGAAATTAATTAGAAAATCCCTCACGATTGGCCAATTTAAAATGTTAATCATTTAAACTCTATTTGAGATCGACATTATTTTCTTTCAAATACGCCATTATACTTCGCAGAAGAATCTGCAATCTTCGGCTCCTACACTTTTTCTGAGACACCCTGTATAGGTAAGAATTTCGAAACTATGGGTATTCAAAATTTTCACTTTGACCCTACTTATTTCTGTTGGAAAAATAATTTTACATATCTTTTTGCTGCAGGCTATTACAAAGAAAATTGTAACTATGTTTAACGTTATTTGTGGTTTTTATTGGCACAGTTTTTGTACCTTTACTCAATAATTATAAAAAAAAAACATATATGGGGTGTTTTATAAATAGACCAAAAACGGAAAATGCCAAGTAAAATAAGATATCAGGAACATGAAAAAAATTCTATCTATAAAAATTTCGACGTTATGAGAGTTTAAATTTTGCATTTTGACTCCATTTATTTCTGTTGGAAAAATAATTTTACATGTTCTTTTGCTACAGACTGTTAGAAGAGGAAACAAAGAAGCTGTATCCTGAATTGTTACTTTGTTTATCATTATTTGTAGCTTTTGTTGACAAAGTTTTTGTACACCCGGGGAAAAAAGTATTTACCAGTCTAACTTTGTACTCGGACTGCGCTTTGTCGCAATAGCGTTTCAGACTAACTAGTTGGAGAGCAGGTAATATGTCGAAAAACCCTTAGTTAGGAAGTTGGTTCGGACCCCAAAAATGTCTTTTTGTGAAAATTACTCCAATGAGCATAGATTATAACGTAAACATTAAATTGTGATTATAATAAACAAGCTTGCTCAAATTATCAAATTACAAATACGTAAATTTATTTAAGAAATGTATTTTGCAAGTATACAGTATGTTCCCGGATTAAGTTTACAAGAGGAAAAAAAAATTACCTTTGATTTAACGCTAAAACTGAAAAAGGAAAAACATTTTTTGGTTGACTTAACTTTTAAGGTTCTTTATCTACAGCTTTCAAAAATCAATATTGTAGGACTAGTTTTAAATGCCAGAATTTTTTAATAAACTGTCAATTTTGCCAATATTTCTATCAAGTTATTTCTTTATAATCAAAATTCTGAACTTAATAAAACAATTTATAATAGCCAGTCAAAAGGAAACAAATTTTTACCTTTGATTGTACGCCAAAAAAGCAAAGGAAATACTTTTTTTTCTATAGCAGATGTTAAACTATTTCTTTAAAAACTCTTTTGAGGAGATGAAGTAACACTTTAACAGCAATGATTGTTTTTGCTTGATTATTCTGACTCAGTGGAAAGAAAAGTTACTTTTTTTCTTACTTTTGGACTTGTAATAATAATCTTTCTTTGCTTTTCAAGTCCCATCACATTGGCGATTTTATTTTTTTGACAACGATGTCACTTTGACAATTAATTAATTAATTTAATGATTGTTTTTGTTAAAAATGACTGTTTTTTTAGAAGCTGTTTTTTGACTTGCCATTTATTAAAATTATGTTTTTTCCAAGCATTTTTGTTATTTAACTTGGGTTACCCCATATGTCAAAACGACATCGTTGTCAAAAAAATGTGGGATTTAAAACGCAGAGAAAAAATTACACTAGTTTAGACGATTTTTATACCTTAGCTGAAAGTTAATTTCTTATACAGGGTGATTCAGCTTAAATCACCCATTAGACCCCTCTTGGCAGACAACCTATAATACACAAAGCAATTATTTCTTGATTCATATTCGAATTTTGAAAGTTTCATGAATCGAAAAATATCGTTCTTTGATTCTCGATGTTTTGAAAATTTAATTTTAAATAAAGGAATAAGTGCATAATGTATTATATGTTGTCTGCCAAGAGGTCAAGTGGGTCATTTAAGCTGAATCACCCTGTAGATTTTGAGGTACTGAGTTAAAAAAATAAATAAAAAAGTCCACCACGTTACGTTTAAGAAATATGTGATTAGCAAAAATACAAGAACCGCCAAAAAACATAGTAAAAGTGAGTTAGTTATTTTACTTGGTTTTATTATACTATTTGGATCAGTTTTCTTTATAACAATCCAACAGTAATCTACTAACACATTTTCATCCCAAAAACCTTTGTGTCGATCTTTGAAAACCCTTCAGATCTTGATGAAAACGCTCTACTTGTATGTCATTCATCCTAAATTGTAGAAAAAAAGTCCAAATGCGAGTGAAATGTTTTTAAGACCTATTTAGACCCATATAGTAATAATGTTGCAATAATTCAGCAACAATTTGAATTTAAATAAATTTTAAATCGGAGGCATTTGTGCAGAAAGTAGAAAAATTATCGTCTGTAACCAAAAAAGTGTGACGTGATAGAAAAATTTAACAATTATTTTTGTTTAATTAAAGGTAAGTTAACATAAAAATAATAATTCGTTTAAAGGTCGTATTGTTTGTAAACTATAGTGTTATTTGTTATTAGAAGCTCAAAATCAAGAGAAAAATTAAATTTTCTTTCCAATGAGTGAAAATAATGAACTTTTAAAATTACAGAGTTACTGGTTTCAGGTGAAGCAAAAAATGTTTTTCTTTTGCAGTGTTAGCGTAAAATAAAAAAATCCGGGGACATACTGTATAATATTAGTTATTATTATTATTATTATTATGGCATTAAATTTTATGTTACTTGGCATTTTTTTCCAGAACGCGAGTTTTGAACCATGCTGTATACATGCTCATTTTTAAATTATAAAAATATTTTTTTTATTTTTTCAACAAGTGCACAATTTTACTTTTTCGCAAGAACGGGACTAAATTATACTGGGGTTATTTATAAATGGTTTTACTGACGGATCGCTTCACTAATCGGATTTTTGCGGCAATAACGATAAAACAAGCAAACATTTCAAAGTTAATTGGTTAAGGTTTACGTTTTAGAAAAAAACATTTCATTTGCGTTAAGTAAGTATATTGAAATTTGGGTTAATCCAAATAAATTTAGTTGGTACGAATTAGTAGAAAAGTTAATTGGTTTAAAAACACCGATTTTACCTGTTCCTTGTTTTTGTTTGTTTCTGAAATAACTTTAAACTCATCCCTGCGTCTATATCTTCTGGTATATACTGAAATTTGTAATGTTATCTGCTATTAGAAAGAAATTGCTGTTTTCATGTGTAAACTTTACTATTAAATTTATTTTATGAGCAAAGGCATAATGCTAATGGATACAGAATACAATATTGAGATGCAGTAATTGAAACCATTCTATTTTGGAGATGTTTAGAAATTAATAGCTCTCAGTTTGGTAACGACGCGTTATTATTACATGAAGATTTTACCGAGATTACAGCTTGCATAATAATGATGGCTTAAATTATTTGTACGTATAATAATTGAGGAAGTAACAATTTTGAGATAATCAATACGACTGTTTGGGGTAAAATTATCTAATTCTATTGAAGAATTTTACTTATAAAAAATGTATCTCTCTTTAATCCAAAATATTTTTCATTCATTATTGCAGGGTCTTCCTTATCTTGGAATTTCGAAAAAGTTTCTATGCAGAAATTCTCCCTACGGAGAGCTCCTTACAAAAAAACCTACTACAATAATAGTTATTTACTATACAAGACGATAAAGAAATTGTTTATCTACGAGTGAAAAGGTTAAGTTTACGAGTGACGAAGTCACGAGTGGACTTTCTTCACGAGTAGATAAAAATTACTTTGTTTCACTAGACGATAAAAGTCTTATCTACTGAAATTAGTTGATTAAAGCACTCTTTAACATTGAGTACAAAATACATGAAGTTATTTTTAAGTACACATCAAGATATTTCAGAAGTGAGTAAGCATATAAAATCTTAAGTTTTTAAATAAAACATCCCATGTTTTTTTGTATTTTTGATAAAACTTTTAATGCTGTTGTTTTTATAAGAAGGTAAACTTTCGTTGGGCGTGTTGCTTATTTTGTTATATAATTTGAATTCTTTGAAAAATACACATTATTTTTAAAAATTGTTACACTAAAACTAAGAGCATTATCATTATGACCTTACTATTATTAATATTGTTAATTGGACCCTATTATTTTATTTGTTTTGTTACCTATTTGTTTTACTTTTGTGAGATATTAAAAAAAATGTGTGGATCGAATTGGTGTTGGCTGTTTTTTATTCTGCCAAATAATTTTGGTTTTTATCATCATTTCCATAATTCCCGTAATAATTAATTGTATTATGTTTTATTAGCTATAATGAAACGATTTTTAGATACTTTCTCCTATAAAAACACGGGTGTAAAAGTAGCTGCAAAATTTTCACGAAAAGAACTCATAAAGACAGATTTAGAACAAAACTTTGGAATAAAACTTTCCTCTTTCTGAATTCGTGCACGTCTCAAACCGTATTAAGCAGAATTCATTAAAGAATAAAAGAAAACTAATTAGGGGACAAATTTGTTGCTAATTTTGTTACACTAAATTTTTGTTATTTACTTGTGTACAGAATGCTCCCAAAAATCGCCATCCTAAATGTGTTTAAATCAAATATTTGGACTTTCTCAACAAAATTAAAAAGTGTCCGTTAAAACTATCACATTTTAAGAATTTTCAATAGAATTTTGTACCGACCCTACCTACAAATTTTGAAGTGGCATCACTGCTTGGCTAAAATTAAAACAAAGTGTTACTAGAATGTTAAGAATTTAAAAAAAACATTTTTTGTTGGCAATGTTCTCTATGCGAAACTAAAAGACAAAATCGTTTTTGTTGTTTTCTAATCGAAAAATCACGTACTTAAAACTTAAATAAATAAATTAGTTATGGCAGTTGCTCGTTAATTAAAACAGATGTTTAACAAATTATCTTAGCGTGAAAAATCCATAAAATTAATGATTGATAAACAAAAATTATGACATGTATGCAAACAGTGCATTTTTATTAATCATTAAAAATATAGTTGCACTACTTTGTAACTAAACTGAAACAAAAATATTTTTTAAGAAACAATGGGACATCGTACTCGTAAAAATGTCATCTTTATGTTATTTCATCACATCATTAATGCATCGTAAGTTAAGACGTTTTAAGAGAATTAGTTTTGGCAATTGCACAAAACATAAAGTAAATGAAAAATGGCATATGTGAATGATTGCAAAACATTTAAAGTTTTATGTTTTAGTGGAAAAACTACTTTAAGTCATAAACAACACGAATCATATGGAGTTTTCACGTTGTAAACTTGGTTTTAACGAAGTAAAATTACCCCAAACTCAGTCCAAATTGTTCGAAGATTTGCAAATGCTAGTAACTAGGAAGAAATAAATTTTCACTAGAAATATTATCTGTCTTAGGTTTGTTTACAGCAATCTAATTTATAGTGCAGTAAATATGTCTTACATTTGGCACATTTTTGTCTCAAATTAAATTATAAATTAAGGAAGTGAAAATGAAAATTGTATTTACCATTGTCTATATCTGGATCATCCATGACACAGGTACGAAAAACATATTTTTTACACAAATCTCTCACACCAGGTGCAGCAAAACAGCAGAATAATATGATAATTGTCAACACTACTATCATAACAATCAAGGTTGCTACTTCCTGGTTTCTTCCGGATGAGGTTGAAGAGGATTTGTTTGCGGTGTTTACTTCTGAAACAAAAAAGGTTTTTTTAATCTTGACAAATTAAAAGCCATTCATCATAATTCTACGAGAATTATCTAACGCCAGTTGGAGTTGTGCCAGAAATTCGAATAAAAATAAATAAACAATTAATTTGTGTTAAGTTTATAAATAAAAATGCGAAAACACGAAAAATTAGACATGGAATAAATTTTGATTTTATTGTCGGATTGTCATCACCAGTCTTAAATTAAATTAGCTGAAAACATTTTTTGTAAAAATAGGAATCAACAAATGAAGTGGAAAACAAGCGAAATGTTGCTCTGCTTTAAGCTTCTCACAGTATAAGAGCTTTGCAGATTTCACTTTCACAGTTTCAGCATCGATCCTTGACCGAATTTCAGCGCCGGTTTCCGGCGCAATATTTTCCTATATAAGGTTTGCGTGTCGACTTTTGGCAATTTTCGTTTGTTTCATATGTGGAAAGCGATTTATTTTTATTGCAAAAGAGTTGAAAATAATCAAATTAATTGGCTTTGATTTGAGTTTACAACGAAAGTAATTTTATTCCATGGACGTTTTTAAGACACTTAATGTAGGAGGAAATGACAAGAAAAATTGACAAAAACAGACAGTTGGACCTGATTGCAAACTAGTTATTTCTGGAACTTAATCTGGGTAATAAAATATTTTCAATTATTTTCTTCATTCATTTTGTTCCAACACCAATTCAATAAATTGTGGATAAAAATAGTTTATTTGGTTAATTTTTTAGTGTTCTGTATTGGTTTTTATGTGGTAAAAAAATTTTGTTGTAAGAATTTATGATTTTATAATGACTTTTGATTGAAGGTTTTGAATCCAAAATAGTTTGTGTTTGTTTAATTCTTCTCGTCTATAAATAATTTCGCAAGTAATCTAGATCAATATAACAACAATGTAATGTAAAACTCTCAAAACTAAAATTGTAAGCTAGTGATGAAGTGGTTTTTGAAATTTGTAAGTTATAAAACACCTACGCTTGTGGGGAAATTATTATTTTCGCAATTGCGTGTCTTTTGGTTTGGCTCCATTACCATTAAATTTTTGATTTATGAAGTATTTATAAAATTATAAATTCTGTCAAATTAAGAAAATATAGTATTGTGTATCTTGAAAAGAAAAAGTAGGAAATCAATATCAAATAGAAGAGAAAAAGAAAATCGTTGCAAGTGACATATTTCCCAAAGCCATATTTTTCAAATGTGTATCTTTAGAAAGTTTTATTTTAAATATTTTAAATCATTATTTCTTGATTTTTTCATTTTTAGACTAAACATTACACAAACTTTTGGGGATATATAAAAAATAAAAAAAATCAAATATTTACTCTCGAAAAGTACCTAACAAGATTTTTTACACAAATAAAGTGATCGTTGCAGTATCCTAAAAAAATCTTATACAATATACCTACGACCGTTAGAATTTGTATGGCCTTAAGTAATAAATTATGTTAATACAATATGACTTAACATAATTTATTAAAATTTATCGATTTGTGGAGTTGACTTTAATATTACTTACTTTATAAATTGAATTTTTTTTGAGGCGCGTATTCTAGCGCACCTGTATTTTCTTAAAAATTTAAATTGAAATTTATTAATTATGAAATAACATAATTTCTTTTTATTAATTTCAAAACTAGTTTGAGAAATGATGAAGTAATCCGGGTATGTCCCCGGATTGAGTTTACACGAGCAAAAAAAATTTTATCTTTGATGTTACGCCAAAACTGCAAAGGTAAAACATTTTTTGCTTCACCTGAAACGAGCAAATCTGTACTTAAAACTTCATTATTCTGATTTAATGAAAAGAAAAGTTAATTTTTCTCGACTTGGAATAGTTTTTCTCTGCTTTTTAAGTCCTATCACATTGGCGGTTTTATTTATTTGACAACTATATGTCACTTTGAAAATTAATTTATTAATTAAATAATGATAGTTTTTGTTAAAAATGACTGGTTTTTATTTTAAAGCTGTTTCTTTGAGTTGCTATTTATTAAAGTTATGTTTTTCACAAACATTTTTGTTATTTAACTTGCGTAAATTCATATGTCAAAGTGACATCATTATCAAAATAATAAAACCGCCAATGTGATAGAACTTAAAAAGCAGAGAAAAATTATTTTAAGTCCCAAACCAAGAGAAAAATAAAACTTTTCTCTCTACTGGGTTAGAATAGTTAGAATAATTTAATTACAGATTTACTGGTTTCAGGTAAAAAAAAATGTTTTTCCTTTGCAGTTTTGGCGTAAAATTAAAGATATTTTTTTTAATCTTCTAAACTCAATGCGGGGACATACTGTATACTAACTACTGAAATTATGAAAACTAAAAAAATCCAAAATATGTATTTTACATCCTAATTTTGTTTTTATTAAAAAATGACACAAGACACAATGTTTTCTACAGAAGTAAATTTTTTCCCAAAATTTTCACAAATCAAACATTGGCTTCCATTTTTCCTGCAAATTTAGTGTCAAAAATTGAAAAATATACTTTTACACGTTGGTAAGTAGAGCAGGAGCTTTACTATATCATTTAATACATATTATTATGATAATCACGCTTTTTTATGCTAGGTTGTAGTTAGAAACTCGACTAAAAGTGTTCAAACTGCAATTTTCATATGATTATTTTTATTTTTTTAATGTCACCCTTTATTCTTAATTTTTTTTTCGTATTCTTTAATTTTAAATTTGTGAAATAAGTACTATTTTTTTTTTAATTTTGTTAATTTTCCAAGTGTATTGTGATTTGTTTGTTTTTAGTTTAAATCGTTCAGACATTTACTTGATTAAAAAAATACATCACAATTCTGCTTTTATCACACAACTTATTCGTTTCTTTCTCTAGAGAGAATCGGAGAAACGTCATTTTAAGAAAATAAATCATATACTGCTAACTGCAAACAATTGGCTCATAAGTATTAAGTTTGAACGTTAAAATCTTGTTCTTAGTGGGTGGTCAACGTTTGTTGTAAGCCGTTGTTTACTCAAATTTAATAGAGCAAAAATGACAAGCAGTGAATTTCTTCAAGACTCATAAATTAAAATAAGCATTGCAAGTATTTAAAGAAATGTTTTAATGAAGCTCTACCCGGGTATGGTATTTTATTATTGTTATATCTTTCTATTCTTGGCCTAAATACCCTTGGCTAATTGTTGTGCCAAAATTCTTCTACAGAATTTCTGTAGACTATTGTCTTGCATCTAAAAAAAGACGTTGCTACCGAAATAACAAAACACCGAATTGACTAATCCACTACTAAAAACGAAAACAATTAGTTCTATTACCAAAATAAACCTATAGGAAAAATAATAAATTTTTGCTGTTTCCGAGAAAAATGTTGATTAACACCGGGGTAACAAAATCGTCTTTTTACCAATAAAAATTTACCTAGACTTGATTTATATTAAGCCAGATGAATCAGTCCGATTAACAAGTTTGGCAACTAGAGTTCATAACGAAATTAATCACATTTGAACAATTGGCAAACTCCTGGAGAAATAATATACTAGACCACCTACCGAAATTCCGTCAATAATTGTTATTGTTTGCCCAACTTTGATCAAAGCTTCGCCAAAAATATTTTTGTTTTAATCAAACTGAAAACTATATAAACTTTTAACGCCCGTCTTTTATCACAAAGAAATAGAGTATGATACTTTCCAAACAGTAGTTCGAAAATAGAAAACCCCATTATGTAAATAGAGCATTATAGGTAAATATTATTAGTTCTCGAGCTAACTGAATGAAATAATACAGATGCGTTTAAAAGTCACGGACTTTGTTCATCAAATTTATAGATTTGTTAAAATAAAGCATAAAAGATAATTTAAACTGGATTTAAAAATAATCCAAATGATTGATTTTACAAACATTTCACTTTTCAAAGATTTTGATAATTGGATGTGAAATTAAAAATTATTTATGGGACAGATGTTTATCGGAAAAGAAGTGAAATTATTCGATTTTTAGAACGACGTTTAATTAACTCTTCAATCTGGAAGAGGAAATTTGTTTATGCTTTTACAAGTTCAACGTAAAATTCAGTTAGGACGTCATTGAGGTGATTTGCAACGTTATGACGTAGCAAAGATTAACAAACAATCCCATTGTTTACCTTTCTGAACCAAATATAAAACAGTAACAGCAGGACTATAAAAATAAGAGAAAAATATCTTGATCAATTCACATAATACAGAGTGATCCAGTCGAGGATCACAATTTTCTCGACTCGGTTAAGGACCCTTAAATTGACATACGAGTATACATACAAGATTTTTTCTAATTTCAAAAGTTTTAAAAATTAAAATTTTATAATAATAATATTACAACATTTGTTAAGCTAGTTTAAATTTCTGATTAAAGTGGCCTATGACTGAAAAACAGACTCAGAGGTATGAAAATCAAGTCTCATATCTAATTCAGTGTTGCCAACCTAATTTCAGGTTGACAGAAAACAAGTGTTATGTATTCTGTGTCTATATTATTCATTGTTGTCAACTTAATTTTTAAGTTACAGTCCACTTTGATCAAAAACATACCTAACATGGTATATAATTTCTGTTTTTTAAGTCATTACCAAAGTGTTTAAAGATAATTTTTACATTCTTTAAGTTCATTTCTGTGTTTTATTGCTACAAAACATAAAAAATATTTCCTTTGACATGCAATGAGAAGGTCATAAACAAATAATATTTCGTCTTGACAAACACATAAGCAATTTTTAACAAGTCACTGACAATAACATAAATAGTAAAATTAAAATAAATTAGTAATAAAAATGTCATAAAATTACAATTTAAAAAAAAACAATTTTTATACAGAACAAAATATATATTTACTCTTTCAATTAATAAATTAAATTATTCTAAAATCTGAAATTGGATGACAAAATATAAAATAATGTGTTTCAGAAAAAAAAATAGTTTCTTTTCTTGGTGTCATAATTATAAAGAAAGTTTCTCCGGTTTACACATATTATTAATAATAACATTATACTCGTAGTATTTAAAAACTGCGAAAAATAATATTAGAACATGCTTCTTCATTTGTCTACAGGGTGATTCATCTCAGCTCCGGTCTTCTGGAGTTCAGTTATTATTTAAGTGGGAATTTTGATATTTTGTAGACTTTATTTATATTCTAGAGCGCATTTCAGGAAAATATTTATGTTTATACATGGTGGCCCAAAAATGAGTTACAATACAAACATCTGTTTCTATACAGGGTGCGTCAGAACAGAGAAAAAAGCTATATAAGGTAAGATACCAGGAACATGAAAAAATGTTAAAAAAATTTTATCTATAAAAATTTCGAAGTTGAGAGTTTAAATTTTGCACTTTGACTCTAATTTATTTCTGTTGGAAAAATATTTTCTCAAGTTTTTTTGCTACAGCCTATTAGGAGAGGAAATAAGGAAGCTGTATCCTAAATTGTAAATCTGTTTAATGTTATTTACGGGTCTTATTGGCAAAATTTTTGTACCTTTATTAAATAATTGTAAAAAATATATACAAGATCATCAGTTTCATTAAAAACAGACAAAAAATGTCAAATGTCAAAAATTTTTGAAACATTTTTCCATGTTCCTCGTATCTTATCGTACTTGAAATTTTTCTCTGGGGCGCAAGTTCTGACACAGCCTGTATGTTGCGACAATTAACATTTAAAATTAAATATCTTTTAATTTTTAGAAAGAGGATGTTTTTGCCAAAAAAATCAACTTAATCCAAAAATTAAACAAAGTCGACTGATAAAAGTTTAACTTAAAAACATTGAAATTAAAAGCTACATTCAAAAATAAAAAAATAAAAACATATGGTGTTTTATTTAAAAAAAACATAAGTTTGTATTGTAACTATTTTTGGGCTACCCTGTATAAACAAAAATATTTTCCTGAAATGTACTCTAGAATATAAAGTCTACAAAATATCAAAATTCCCACTTAAATAATAGCAGCTACAGAAGAGCGAGCTGAGATGAATCACCCTGTATATTTCGACTTTTAAATGTAAAACTTCTTCAAGAGTGTTTTATCTTTATATAATTTTTTCATAATTTACATTACTAAAATAAATAAAATCAACTTAAAAATTATTGTAAAAAAACGCCAAAGTTTCTAATGTTTTAATTATGGTTATCAGTTTTATCATCTAAGATGTGCAATTTTAATGCCAATTTTATGGTCTCTGAATGTTTTTTGTCAAAACAAAAGGTGCAATATTGAAATTGAATTTCGTTGTTAGTTCAACAAAACACTAATAAATTGTACAATAAAATTTTATCACATCCTTCTGTTTTCCTGTGTAAACAGGGTAATAACAGGGAAATTGAATTGTTCCATTCCAAATTGATGTTTTCGAAAAAATAAACATGACACGTTCAATTAAATCTTGGCATAAAATCTTTCACCGATATGTAATTATCTTTTTGTACAAGTAAATCCACACATTAATTAAGATCAATGCCATAAATATTTATGAACCTTATTCAAACATGAAGTAATGAGATTCAACTCGTGGTAATATTTGCGGGTTTAAGGGAAGTTTTTTATATTATTAATTAATCGAACACAATAGACGGTGCTGGTCTATTTCAGAGCCGAGGAAAATGAGGTTTTCATGTTTATTTAAAGAGCGTAAAATAGCCGTGTATTTATAAGCCTTCACACAACATAAAAGAAAATTTCAGCCACTTACTTGTCTGTTGCGGACTCATTGTTATTTTTCACGTGTTCATTTGCATCTTGAACAAATATTTGAGTGACTTCCAACTGGCTAAAATTACACACTTGATTCGGGACTCTGCATGAGGATCATCACCAACACCTCATTTCCTTTCCTATCAAAAATTCAATCACGTCGGACTTTCCTTAAGAAAGTTGTCACCTAACTCGCATTTTAACAACTTGTGTCCAGTTTTTAATTGATGGCCAAGTCCAGAGCCGAACTCGAACGAATTTTCCGAGCGACGCACTTTCCCACAGGCGTCCAAGCATGCACTGCGGGCGCCTTTTTCCCGTTTCTAGCACGCGACGTCGTGACGTCACTCCTGCAGCCCCACTTTTCGCGGCGGCGCCGAGATAATGAAGATTAGAACAATAGCTTGTATTAAATTTATTCGAATGCTCTCGAGTGACATTAATGCTCTCATAATTAACTCAAAGAAACAAATAGAGGCGCTTTTATTGCGGGAAGTCTTTTTCAGCCCCAGGAATGGGGGCTGCTTGACCGGCGGTGTGTTTCGGAATAGAAATTGTGTAGGAAGGGCATTCCGGAAGTCATTACTACGGCGTAAATTCACGGCGAAAAATAAAATAAAAAGAAGTAGGTCACGCAGGTGATAAAAATATAACCGGGAAAATGGGGAATTGTCATGAAAACGGTCGTGGAATATACAGGATGTTCGGTCCAAGTCGCTCCGGCTAATAACACCTAAACTTACTTCTTTTTTTCAAAAAGTAAATATTTAAATAATAATATTATTTCTTTGCTTTGTTAATAAATGTATCAAATTTTTTTAGCACATCCGGTGTTGCCGGAAATGCTACCAAATTTAGTTTTTCAAATGGAACACCTATGTTTTTTGTCCTACAAACAATAATAATTGACATGAAAAATACTGTAAACCACTATTTATTACATTTTGCGTAACACAATGCAATCAAAAAACATCTTAAATCTTAGAATTTTATAAGGAAATTGGCCGCGTAGCCTGATTTTTAATTTTAAAGGAAAGGTGTGAATAAAAAAATGCTTGGCTACAGTTTAAATGTTGGTTTGACAAATCTAATTTGTCAGTTGATGAGCGAGTTCTCTTATGGAAACTCTTAGATTTTCTTCGACTGATAACAAAACATCCAGATTTTGATTTTCTTGTTCTTTCAAAGAACCACAGGTTTTTTATTTTTAAGAAGCGAACCTATTCGTCTCAGTTGTTTTTCAATTCGACTAAATTTCCAACGATTTGGGTGAACTCTATTTGAGTATTTTTCTCTAAACTGTCTTTCAGCTTCCGCTCTATTTTTATTGCACTTAAAAAACACTTCAAACTGATCTACCAATTCGTCGTAATTAATATCATCCATTATTAAAAATCTCAATAAGATTTATTGACAAATTAGGCTTTGGCAAAATAACAATTAAACGGTATGCAAGCATATTGCTTTTTTGCATGAATACCTTGACAAGTAAAATTCCATTACATTGTAAAATTTGCTAATAAATTCTAAAATTTAAATTATTTTCTGAGTGTATTATGTAAAGTAAAATGTAATAAATAGTGGTTTACCGTATTTTTCATGCCAATTATTATTGTTTCGAGCAAAAAACATAGGTGTTCCATTTGAAAAACTAAATTTGATAGCATTTCCGTATGTGGCAAAAAAATTGATGCATTTACTAAGAAAGCCAGGAATGAATAGTATTATTTGAAAATTTAGTTTTTCAAAAAATAAGTAAGTTTAGGTGTTCTCGGCTGGGGCGACTTAGACCGAACACCCTGTATTTTTTTAAGATTACTTGGAACTTTTAATTAAATGCGTATTACCTAAGTAATGAGACGTGCTAAGGACACTCTAGAGTGCAATAATAAATTTAATCAAATTATATTATATCTACCTCTTCAAGTTTCAGGGTACTGAAAAAATGTCATTTATTAGGAAAACTGCATTAAGAGATTTACTCCTATTTTTAGCAATACTTGTAATTCTTTGAAAATGTCACATTTCGTGCAATGATTGTTATACCACGGTGCAACAAAAGTAAATGACCGAATTTTTAAGCACCAAGAAATTCATACCCAAGTAGTTTGCATTAATTTATAATTTTTTGTAATTTTTTGTCCTATAATTTGACCGGTATTGGAATAATTGGTGATTCTTGTTTTTAACTAATTTAAAGTGAATATATTACGTTTAAAATTAGGCAAAATTGTCCATTTGTTAAGATGTAATGTTAGTGAAATACATTTATAGTAAAATCGTATTCCTAAGACCTACTAAAAATTTTATTACTTTTAAGTTAAATGCGGTATTGTTCAGAGTAAACCAGAGGGTAAACAAATCATAAATTACCCGGACCCTAAAACAGGTCAGTTTTTAACAGGGCCGGATTACTTACTTTCTTTTTGTCTAAAATACTTGAAATGTTTTAATTGTTTTTGATGTAGTTGTTATTAATATCAAGTATTTTAAGAAATTTAAAAATGCCAGGTGGTTATTAACAAGCTATTATTAAATAAAGCTGATTTTTTTAATAATAGCTTGGTAAAACTCTACCACTACTTTAGTTTAAAATACGGCCCTGTTTTGTTCTAGTGAACACTTGCAAAGGAACGTGCTTTTTATGGAGGGTTACAAATTCGAGCCATTGTTTGGTTAATTCCTTATAATGTGTCATAAAATTTTTAGTAGGTCTTACGAAAACGATTTTACTTTAAAAGCTTTATTAAATGAGGTAAAAAAAGTCATTTATTAAGAAAAATAGCAAATGTATAATGATTGTCATATAGGATGTATCAGAAATTAGTGATCTAATTTTAAGCATCAGAATTTATTTCGGTGTTAGAATAAGTCTATTCCAGCACTCAAATGACGTCATTAGAGTGCTTTAATAAGTCGTTGGCGTTAATTTAATTTTAGTGACGGACTTTCTTCACTATTCATTTTTAAATGTGAAAATAAGAATATTTTTATTTTTCACAGCCGCCTAAAATTATTCCACATAAATGTCGCCCACCGTCGCAAAATTCTCTAGATTTACAATTTCTGTCTGTTAATTTATAAAATGATATAAAGCGGCAAAATAGAAAAAATGGTATAAAACACTCGTTGTATAAGCTTCTTCAAGCACTCATTTGTTCCTCAACTCACCGCTACGCGGCTCGTTTCGAAATTTCAAATTCGTGCTTCTGCAACTTGTATTTTAATATACTATTTCTTTATAGTTTGTTGCAAAAGTTTATGTATTTGTACAAATTTTTAATCTGTAATTTAGGCCAGTGTTTAATATTATAATAAGTTTTCACCTAACAAAAATTTTTCTTGTCTCTATCTCAACAAACTTGTGACAATCATGTAAAATCTTTTTTATTGCGAATCTTAATCTAACTCTTTATTGAGTGTATTCTAATCAAGTACCATTAAAAGTTGGTGAATTTTCCCATTTGAACTACATTTGAAACAAGATTAAAGAAAAATGAAGACGTAACATCTCTTGCCAAAGAATATTAAACGCCCCTGAAAGATACCTACTTATACCTACAGGGTGCACCAGAATTCGCGCCCCAGAGAAAATTTTCAAGTAAGGTAAGATACCAGGAACATGAAAAAAATGTTTAAAAAATTCTATCTGTCAAAACATTTTGACATTTATTTTTTGACATTTGACATTATTTATATCTATTTAAGGATACTGATGATCTTATATATGTTTATTACAATTATTTAGTAAAGGGACAAAAATTTTGCCACTAAAAGCCACAAATGACATTGAACAGAGTTCCAATTTAGGATGGATACAGCTTGCTTGTTTCCTCTTTTAATAGCCTATAGCAAAAAAACTTGGAAAATTATTTTTCCAACAGAAATAAATAGAGTCAAAGTGCAAACTTTAAACCCTCATAACTTCGAAATTTTTATAGATAAAATTTTGTTAACATTTTTTCCAGGTTCCTGGTATCTTACCTTTTTCTCTGGGACGCGAGTTCTGGCGCAGCCTGTATATTCTCACATGCTAAAATAAAAAGTTTTGTAGTTGCATGCAAATTTGTGTGATAATTATGTATAATTTTGAAAAAAGATTTTTTTGTCGGAGGTTATTAGTTTTACTATACTTGTTTAAAAATAGAAATAAATAAAAGCTTTAAAATATTGACCAAATAAGTAAGTTTTTAATTTTTTTACTAATCGCAATAATATCACACGATAGGGGTATGTCTAAAACTATAGAGAAACTCAAAACCCAAAAATTTTGCTACAATTTATCATTATAGTTTGTTACAGTGGCGTAATATAGCAGAAGCCTAAGAAGCCCGGGCTTGCGGCGCGGCGCAAAGATTTCAAGAGGCGCAAAATTTTGAGAAAGAATTTCTTTCTTAAAAAAAATAACAAAATCGTGTTTGTCGGAGCAAAATATTATTTTTTCATTATTTTTTTTTTGTACACATAGGGTGCTGCATTTTGGATGTCCGAATAGGAAATCTCCGAAACTAAAAAATTAGGCAAAAACGAGTAATACATTCTGGGGCTCATTTTTTGAGAAAATAATATTGGTTAAAACCGCATCCCGCTATCGTCTTTTGTTTTCGACTTATAGACAAAAATTGACATTTTAGCGAAATCTAAAAAAATTCATATCTTCGTTATTATAGAAGACACAGATTTGAAATAAAGACATTATACAGGCACTTTTTTACGTAGAATTTAATAATGTAGTTAACAATTTTTTTCAGTTGTTTGTTTAGCCGTAATAAAATAAAGTTGTATTTTTTTAAATGGAAATCATAGGCAGCTATGGCAATTTTGAAAAGCTTGTTTTTTTCTTATCTAAAAAATATATATTTGTAACAAATTATTATAATACATTTTTAGTAAAAAATTATCTTTGAATTTTGTTCGCAGTTGGCCATGAAAAAATGTTGCATCTTTAACCAAAAGGATTTAAACTATATTATTCAACCAGTGTCACTAATGAAAGAGTTTTCTAAGTACTAAGTAATGGAAAAGATGCAAAATAAATTGTAAATCAACTTATTGGCGACTAATAACATTTCTTTGTTTTTAAACAAGCTAACATTACCATTACAACTTCTAGTGATATATAGAGTGTTGTAAAAAAAAGCCGCTTTAATTCCTCAATAAAATATATTTTATATGACACAAAAATGGCTATTCAAATACCCAAATTTCGTCTATGTGAAACGTTATCCTACCTCCATTAGATCATCAAAAAAATGTTTTTTTCTAATTGTGTTGACTGTTGACAAATT